TTCACATCTGATATCCTTTGTCAAAGTTCTCCATATAAAAACATGAATTTACGCCTAGAGTTGGAAGCAGACTTGGAATAGAAATTTCGTGTTGAGGACGATAACTAATTTAACTCTTCATCATGAATATTTAAGTCTTGTCAAATTACTGCCTATTACTAGATTCTTTTTGCCTGTGCATAATTTTTCTGCCATTTTATGTAAGAGTTCTCCATTTCTAGGACACAAATCGCTCGATATCATTTAATAAGACGCAGAGATTTAATTTTTGCAGTTGAGAAGTTCAAGTATCTTGAGAGGTGGATAGATATTATAAAAGTTTTATCAAGGCTCAACGTTCTCTAGAAAAAATCTAAAGCACTTAGCGATTTGAAGATTGCTCCTAATCTAGAATGATTATTATTTATAACGAAGAAAGTTTTTATTTTGTGCAATATTTGTTAAATAGAAGCTTGTAACAAGTTTCTGGTTCATTCTGATAAGAGTCGTTTGAGTATTGAACGCCATCAGAAGCCGAATACTTTTACACAGCATACAAGTCAGAAAATAATAATAAATAATATCTGTAAGTAGACATTGATGTTACATCCGCATTAATTTGTTTTACAAAAAGTTGACCGAAATATAAAGACCGAGAGACCGACTAATAAAATCAGACTATTTTTGGACAACTTCAGCTGAAAAACTATTACTGTTTCTATAAAAACTTCCATAGCAACTAACGACATTTTTATTTATTTTTAGAGACACTACATAAAAAATAAATGTGCTTTTCTTAAGTATTATTTAATTAATCCGTGTTTTTTATTTAACCAAGTTTTAAAATACTAATAAAATGACGATTTTACGATTTGATAGTAAAGCTTCTCGGAATGACAGCAGTATCTAAATTAATAAATACCTACTCTAGTATTTTACTTATTATACCTACATACAGGGTTCAATACAGGGTATCTGTAAAACACGTTAAAAGATGTCGGAGGGTGGTTACCTAGCTCAAAATAAGAAAAAGTGTTCCTGTAGACTCCGGAAATGCTTCGTGAGAGAGCTAAAGCTCCTGAAGGTGGTGGGAAAACACTTTTTTTTTCAATTATCTCAAAAACTGGTAAACATAAATTTACAAAAATTTGTATCTGACGTAACTCTTTGGTGCTAAATCTATTGGAGATATCAAAAATTCTTTACCCTAATTAGGGGAGCGGAGGCACTGGGGTTAATCTATTTAATAGGACGTATAATTTTGTTTTGGAAGAAGTTGTTTGAAAATTTTGTCAGATTGGCTAATTTTCTTCAAAATGTGTTTTTTGTGTTCTTTTTTTGTGTTGTACATAGTTTTCTACTCTCTTTTATAGAGTGTTAGAAGTGTTTTTATTGACTTGATTTTATTATCGTTTTAAAAAAATATTTGGAGGAAAGTAAAGAAACGATTTCCAGCGTTATAACACTTTCTCGTTTTATCGACCGAAGTAATAAATTGATGGCCTATAAAAATTGGGCACTAAAATCTCGTTTTACATATTAATTCTATCAATTCTCACGTTGGAATATTATTAGTCTGTTTAAAAATCACTTTTATAGCTTGTAACTCATCAAGTGAATCTTATTCGTTTTTTGTAAATTTCTGACGTTTAATTAAAGTTTATTTTGTCATTGTGGCCAACATTTAGAGCAAGTAATATTGTGATTGTTGTGGGTAGAGGAATGACTTCACTTAACCTATTACAATAAATAATTGCCGATAAATTTTAATTATCTTGCCCGAGGATCGGCGATGAATTACGGTTATTATTGACCGAAAGTCCCAATCTAACATGGTATGAGTGACAGGATTTGATTTATGCACAAATATCGAAAACATTACAGTTTTCTTTCGCCCTTTAATTATTACGATAACAATAATGGCCACAATAAATAACATTTTTATGGATCTATCTAATTGTTCATAAATTTGGTTAGGTTGGGGTTAATTGGAGTCGTTCTAGGCAACGCTACATCTCGTCAATTTATTAAAGTTAGTTTAAATCAAAGAGAATAGTTTAAAAACGTTCTGTACATATATTTCTGGAGAGGCAATTTTAAAAGGGAAGATGAAATCTCGACCATCTTCTAATATTTCCGGCAGTAGGGGGAAAACAGTTATAAAATCTGAGAGCTAAGTATAGATAACAGCTTTGTTGAAATGTTTTCCTGTAAGATGGATATGTCAAAGAATTTGATATTTTTCTGTTTGCGCTCGGAGCTTTTATCTAAATTACATTAATTGTTAATGGATTTTTTTTTCTAATTAATTGTTTAAATTGTAGATAACTAGATCAAAAGACACAAACATTTGTATCAAAAACGCACGAATTTTAACTTAATCTCCACCATATTTTAAAAGTAAGACAAACTACAAATGTTATCCGTTAACAAGCAAGATTTATTTCTTTGCAAGCTTAAGCGATTGTATCAACATCAAAAAGAAAAAAACTTAACATTCTGCACTGAAACATGCTAAGATGATAAGGCTTTGCATACTTTGATAAAAGTTGTGTGGTCGCTTCGACTTGCATTTACATTCCTTCAAGATAATTTTATTTTATTATTTTTGTCGAACTTATTGATGATTAATGTACAATTAAAAAGTTTAGAATGGTGTTTGGTTTGTATTTATTATACACGAAGTACCTATTCAATTTTCGTTCGATATACTCGTAATGAGAAAGTTGTCCGGAAACTTATCATTTTTTATAGTTTATTCCAGCGAAAAGGATGACATTTTTCGTGAAATACACGACGAAAAGGACGCCTAAAACAAGGTAAACATTTCCGTGGAAGTACGAGAGACCATAAAAAATGATATATCGAAATCAGATTCAATGAGATGAAGTTTTGGATCCAGAAATTCGGGAATCTGAACCTATAACCAGTGTGCGACCTACTCAATTTCATCCTGCGTGATAGAAATTACGAAAAAATAGTTCAATAGTTTTTTATTTTTATTTCTCTCAAAAACAAACACAGTACAATTTTTTATGATTTACATTAGGTAGGTTTTATAAAACATACTTATAATATTTTGTTTTGGCAAAAATGCTGGAACAGGTCAATTTTCTTTTTAAAAAATACAAATTTTCTACTTTTTGGTTTTTGAGTAATGACGTCATCGTTATTACATAGTTTTCGAAAAAAAAAATTATCCAAAAAGTGAAATAATATTAACAAAAAACAAACATATAATTTTAATCAAGTTGAAAATTTTATATTTAAAAAAAATACAGCATTTTTGTCAAAACAAAATATTTTCGATCGAAAGAAACACTATTTCTGTTTAATTGTAACATATTGTTATATATTATTTGCCAAGTTGTTAGTTCGTTAAATTGGAGATTAATGTACAGTGGATGTTCTTTCAATGATAAAAAATGTTATGCAACAATAGATGTTTTGGCCAAGTATCTAGGAGGACGAGAAGTCGTGTAAGAAGTGAAGAACGAATGACGGCTATCTGTTGTGAGTCTTGCTACAAAAGAGGACGTTTCGTGCACAAAAGCGGCATTTGTATAACAAAGGAGTGGCACAAAGGCCATCTTCTGACCGATTTCTACAGGCACAATAGCTACTCGGAACAAATCGAAAAATTTGAGACAGTGGACATTTTTGAAATAGCCTACCTTAAGGATGATCAAAACGGAAATAGATCTTGTAAACAGGATACAAACACGTTTATTTAATTTGTTGCTAAAATAATAATTTTAACGTTTTAGTTTTTGTTAGAATAAATAATAACTCTTCTGTTAGTTCGATATCAATTTCGAAGTAGGTAATGCATCTTGACAAAAATAAACTGCTGGGAGTCCTCGTTGAAAGTCTTTTTGAATGGTCTTTCAGAAGTTGTAGGAAAGTTTTAAAATCAATACCAAAACATTCCAAACAAATAGAAGTTTAGATCATTTCCGTTCGACCTGGGAACAACAAAAGCTGCTCTCAAATTTAATAAAACTAATTACAAGATATATGTAACAAAAGACTAAGGATGGAACAACCTTTCACGTCCAATTTTTCCCTAAATAGCATCTATTTATAATAACATGTCACGCTTAAAATCCCCTAGACGTTTTCTGGCCAAAAACATAAATAAAGAGAGAAACAGATGGACGTCTAACCCAGTTCATTGTATCACAAAAACAAAAGATAACGTTCCTGCTATTCTACTACACGCAGTGAAATTTAATATTTGTACCCTTTTACCGAAATACTGACGTAATTGAATTTTACTTACACGTTATGTGATATCGGATATCTTATTTATTGACAAAAACTAGAAAGATGTAATTCGATCAAGGCCGATTTTATTAGAACAAAAACGTTGACACGTTGTAGTCAAATCGCCCTCGGGCGAATCAACGCTTCCCCAAGGATTACGCTTCTTGATTGGTTCTTCAAATCCCAAGTGAAATAATTAAATAATGGGATGATGTACAATATAACTCCTTGAACTTGTTTTATTTGAAATTAAAAAAATTAAATAACATTTCTATCTATGGAAGGTTAAAATCTTTATGCTTACTAAACATTCTCTCGCATGGTTTTCTTTTATCTCATCAAGACAATTCTCTTCTTTTTCCGCAATTATTAATTTTTAATCGGGGCCTAAGTGAATGAGGAAGAGAGGGAGCATTGTGCTTTTTAGTCTTTTATAGAAAAATTGGTAGATAATAATTTTGCTCTCTTCTGTTTTAATTGTGTTTTAATTCAGTCTGGCAGTGCACAGCCTTCATCTATTGTCAATAAAAACGCAGTAAACCCGAATATAATAGAAAAAAATTTAATAAACTCGTCCATCGAATATAAAGTACTCATAAAGCACCGAAAGCAGAGTCCGGTATTACAATAAATTTACGATCGGGAGGGCTTTATGTCGTGTCATGTTTGATTCTATTAACAATTTCCTTAACTTTGGGTCATAAAAGTCGGCTCCTAAATCATGGCTAGTGTTTCCACATCGTTTTTTATTCCAGACCGAAGCACGCCTCTTCCTCGACCACCGGAAGACGAAGATTCGTTTCCTGTTATTTGCGACCGAGAATTGCATTCATTGCATCGAAACGTGCCAGCACTTCGACGAAGGGACGTCGATACAGCCACTATTAAACAACATTATTACCCAGAAGGTAAGCGGGATTAAAACGAAAAACCGTTTATAGGAAAAAATTGCAGGAGGATGGGGTTGGTTGGTGTGCGGAGCAGCCTTCTTGGCCCACCTTCTCACCTCCGGCTTCCAATTGGCTTTCGGACTGTTGTATTTGTATACCATGAAGTTTCTTATTAGGAAAAATCAAGACAAGGATTTTTACGTGATGGCAACGGGTTAGGAATTTCTCGTTTTATTTGCCCATCATTCTATGCCTTGAGCTCCGACGACATTAAGACAATGGAATGTTGATAGCTATTTTTTGGTGATGCTATTAACTAAAGAATTAGGAAATTTTACACATATGGATGCTGTAACGGTTTAATAGGCGGTTCAATACTACAACCACGCCCCGTATGAATTAATTAAACTTGGAAAAGTGCAAATGAAGGACAGTGGCGTAACGAAAGGCGGCGTTAATGGCTATAATTTTTTTATCTGTCATTTGCTTTTTGATTAAATGTAGGTTGAACATAAAATGCTCAGATCTCAGATAAAGGTTTTAGTACTAGTAAGCACGAGAACTTTTTTAATTTGACTTTTTCTAGGTATGATATTACGTAATGTCAAAAGTGAATTTATCATAATAGCACTTTACTCTACACTTTTCAGTTTAAATTGGAATATGATATCGTGACTAAAGGCACTTACAAACATGACGAGCAAGGAGCGAGTGAGGAAACAATGTTTCTTCATTCTTCATGAATTGACAGTTTGAAATTTATTTATGTCTGCTTTAGTTTCATGTTTGAAAGGCAGATACAAATTTATTAAGACATGTATAACTCCAGAAAAAATGAGAATTATTATCCAAATAATAAAATATGGGTTTACTTTAAATTTATTATCATTTTTAAATGCCTGTAGAAACCTTAGCTACAGTAACTCCCGACATTATTCTACTGATAATCTTGATTTTTATTTTTTTAATTAAGATCTTGATTTTTTAACGCTAATAGAAAAATATTTATATGTGAAATAACAAAACCACTGTCAAAAAATATATTTCTTGATACAGATAAGGGCTAGTTGCTTAAACTCAATCAACTGTTAAATATTTGATTTAGTTGCAATTTGCTCCAATTGCATTACCTCAAACGTGAAGGTAGGAAGGAAAATAGGCTTAAGCCAGCTGAGAATTGACGTTTTTCCAAATAATCCAAACAGAATTCAAAAAAGAAATTTTGTTTTAGCGCTGCAAAATATTACGACCACTCATTCACTATAACATTATGAAATGCTCGCTGTTGGCAGTATTAGACAATTAACTATTTTATATAGCTTTCCGTTCGTTGTGCTGTACGTTAATAGTATATTTTTGCAGTTTCATGTTGAAATAGAAGAGTTATGATAGAGCAACATTGTTCTATAAAATCTATTGCAACGTTATTTTATCTAACGATACTAATCTATAACCATAATGTCCTGTGCAGCTTCAACTCCTGTCTGAATTTTCCAGAGTTTATATTAAATAAAACAAGATTTATTTGTTGACTGTTTTTAAAATATTTATGCATTACATCGTATTTTTCTTCCACGTAACATTTTCAAAAAAATGCAAAATATTAAAATATATCTGAATCTCAATTTTGCAAAAATATACCCAAATACTGTTTAAAATTTTTAATAAAAGTATTTCAGTTGGTTTTAGATTTTAAAGTAAATCGTCAATAATAATTTAATTGGGGTTTGAAACTCAAGACCTTTGGTGTTGCCATCCTCAAATCTAATGAATAATTAATTGAGATTCTAATTGTGAAAATAAAGTTACCATTGGAATATTAAGTCTCTAATTGCACTAGCACTCACATTTAAAATTCACTAAATTTTAATTACCAAGAATGAAAAATTATGTTAACGATGCATATGAGAACGAACTTTTGAAAAAATGTATAATTTAAACTGTTGTTGATTTGTGTTTCATTAATAATGCATTCAAAAAGTTATTAGTTTACTTGACGTTTCAGTAATTTTTCACTGAACTTTTTATTGCTACAAATTTAAAACCGTATGTAGTTAATTGAAAAGCAACAGTTATTAATTACAAAAATAATTAAAGCTAACTGACTAATAATGTCTTAACGAACACCTCAAATTGTTTAGTTTTTTGTTGCCAATTTCGTTGAGAAAATTTAGTATCGAAATGAAACCAATTAGCAAATTCGTTATCAGTAGGGCCTTTGCGTGCAAGACAAAGCTTTGGACCTTTTGTTATCAGCAATCGTTGTTTCTATTAAGAATTAAGTATCACGCACAAGACACCTAGATAACAATGTAAGGATGAGGGTTACCTAATTTGGTATTGGTCTGAATAAACCATTTCATTTCTTAGAATTAATTGTGATTAAATTACATGCATCTCGCAGGTCAATTCACCGTTTAGCTTTGATCAAAACAACTTAGAAAACATCGCTCATAAAACTCGGAATTTAAATGAGAAATCGGATTTAAAACATCTGTGATTTAATTAACGCCTTTCCACATTGGCAAGTGTTTTAAGTCATCAAGCATTCCAGTTCACAACCACCCATTTCGATCCATTAACCGCGCACACCCAATAATAATAAAAATTATCATAATAACACGTTACATTCCATCCTATGATGATTGCTTACAACCGAACATTTATGTGTTTTTTTCTCGAAGGCATGGAAAGATTGCGGCCACATTCTCTACTCAAATCCTGTATTTAAATCCTCATTTTGTTGCAGCTTGGTTGGGAGCTTTGTGCCTGTGTATCTCTTTTTTGACCGCTCCATTAATTGTGGCAGTTTGTAGAAGAAAGTCAACGAGATTGGCAGCCGCGTTTGGGGGCCTTGTGACGGCTCTGGCGTGTCTTTTTACGTCTTTCGCCGTACAGTTCCATCAAGCGCTTCTCAGTTATGGGCTAGTGTTGGGACTGGGCGCTGGAGTAGTCCGGGAAACTTCCGGGTTAATGCTGGGGCATTATTTCAAGAGGAGGAGAGAGTTCGTGGAAATGGTCGCGCAAGCCGGAGCTGGGGTCGGAATCGCCTTGTTTTCGGTGCTTTATAAAGAAGCAGTGGGGTACTGAATTTTTCAAATGAGTTTTATGACACTAATTGATCTCCTGACTCATTTCTCTATCCTTTGATTTGATGCAATGACTGAGGACTTTCATTGTCAGTCGAACAATTGCATAGACTATAGCTTACATGTCAGCTTTCAAGCCGGCTGAAATTTTAATCTATTCAGATGACACTTGGAACGGTTTTCTCATCGTCGGAAAACAGACTTTGGACAGGAATAAAAAGTTTCGATTTGAAAGAAATAACAAGTTAACAAAAAGGATCAACATCTTGTATTTCATAAGCACTAAATTTAATTCTAGTATATATTGATTTAAAATAATAAATATAAACAAAGTGTTATGGTTGGGATACTATTTTGAATAAACACAAATTCTGTTAGGGAGGGAAGTGTTTTTCCACAAACGTAGCCACTGTTGCTTCTCTAACTTACAACATCCAATCAAGATGTTCTTTTTGTCTAATCGATAAGTCGGAGCAAAGTTTTAGTCGTTTGCTAAAATCGAAAACTTGACGTAAACACAAAACTAGTAATGGCTTTCTCTATTGTAATCGCTAGACCTTTTTCCGAAAAGATAACAATTTTGGTAATTGTTCTAATTTTTTTAAACAATTTTTTCTTGCCGATTCAGTTATTTTATTTTTCAAAATATTTTTTAGAAATATATTTTGCTTCATCTACATAACAGTTTATGCTTTATTGAAATTGTGATTATATTTTGTGTTGATTTAATTTTAAATAAAAGACAAGACAATTTAATTTTTTTTTAATGTCTAAATTTATATTTTTAATAAATAAATAAAGAACACAAATGTAATCACTTTTTTTGTGTTATGATGAATTTTTACCTTCAAAAAGACCTTATTTGTTAGGAGGTTGACTTATTTTTTGACATAAGATGATTTTTTATTATAATTTCTTTGTTTTTTGTACTTTTATTTTAAAAGGGTTTTCTTTTGAAGTGACCTCGAAACGCTAAAAATTCAAAATCTACTAGAAACCTACTAATATAGTAAAATTTTTAGGTTTCAGCTTCTTTTGATACATTTTTTCTTCTTAATTTTTCTTAGAAACAGAATGTGTGAGCTAAAAATAGGATTTTAAATGTTTGTATATGTTATACAAAGCTTTAGCTCTAGTCATTTTGCAAGGACAATAAACAGCTTTAAGAAACTGTAGTTATAGTGCTTTTGATAAGATATCTAGCGCAGACCAGCTTCTGCTTCAACACCAAAATAATATGTAATCAATCACTGCTGACAGCTAAAATTGACTTTAGGAAATTTACAGAACGTTTTTTACCCATTACTTGACCACATCCTTCTTTTCATCAACTTAAAGAAGAAGCAAAACAGGATGTGACTAACACGTAATCATAATCTCCAGAGTTTTAATTTACGAATTTTATTGACAATTTACGTTGATCGTATCGTAAAATGATGAACAGTATTGATGACCCAAAGCAACAGTAAACAGTCTTTATGATTTTTATTCAATTTATAACCGATTGTTTTCGTATCATGAAATTCGATCTTCCCAAAGGCATTAAAATTGTTTAATAAAATTGTTCTTTTTTAGTGTGTGATATTGTCATTTTTCTTAGGAAACTGGGATGGAGATTAGGCCTGCAGGCCATCACCGGTTTACTCTCCCTCGCGTTTTTCCTTCCCGTCGTCTACCGTTCGGCCAATTTATACCACCCACAACGACGTGCCATAACACATTTAAAAAATCAACGCAAAAAAATGAAAGAGAAGAAAACACACGCCAAAGCCAAGAAACCGCCAATGTTCGATTTCACGCCGTTGAAAAGTCGCGGATTGAGAGTATTGATGGTAGCTTGTGCTTTCGCTGCTTTAGGAATTTACGCCCCCGTTTTCTACCTTGTAAGTTCCACATTTCTCATATGCGAAACTTGATTTTGGTCGTTAGGTCTACCAAGGGTATAAGGAAGGATTAGAAGACAGTGCTTTAGTTCTCTTACAAACTTTCATGGGGTTTGCGTCGGCTCTGGGTTGCGTGGGATTCGGATTAGTGACTGTGAGACCAAGCTCGCAGTGCTTGATTTCGAGGCAGTATTTGTGCCAAGCGGCCATGGTAGGGATCGGTAAGTGTTTGCGGTTGTTGAGAAGAAATACAAATTACGAGAAATTTCAGGAGTGTCTCTTTTGGCCCTAAGTGCTGTTCAGGGGTACCACGGGTATGTCTTGTTTGTGTGGCTGTATGGTACTTGTCTCGGGGGTTATACCTACTCGTTGAAAATGTTTGCTTTGGAGCGAGTCCGAGGCCGCCACTTCACTAAAGCTTGGAGCTTTATTCAAGGTGCTAAGTCCCTTCCTGTGCTTTTAGGAATTCCTATAACCGGTTATATTAATCAAACTTATCCGAAAGCAGGGTATTATTTTAGTTTCGTTACGACGATCGTAGGTAAGTATAGAAATTCTCCCCATCGAAATAATTGATTAAACTTTCCAGGCGCCAGTTTAATGTTTCTGGTTGGTACCCGCAAAGACCACATCAATAGCAACACCAATAATTGCAACCTGAACGGTTGCAATATAACCAACTTGAACGAATGCGCTTGCAACTTGGCTCTTAATTACAACAACATCTGCACGTCCGACTTGCAACCGTACAATTTCTGTCGACAAAGCGGCAACCACTACGAACGGCTTTTCAATTACGGCCAGATGGATCGAAGCGATTTCCATCGACATTCTTTGCGTCACCATTACCTGCCTAAAAGTCTCAGCTACGCGGCCAACATCGACAGATCGCCCTACCACCAATATCCGGTACATTATCATGATTACGTGCGACTGACCAATCCCAGAACCAGGAACATGTTGAGACCGAGCAAAAGTGTTCCTGAAGGACTCGCGCGATGGGATTATTGCGGCTCTTACAGGAGACCGATAATTAGGAACGTTCAAGTTATCGAACAAATTACTACTTCGGTGTAACGTAACGGTTCCGGTGCCAATTCTAGTCATTTTAGTCACTCGTTGGTGGATTTGTGAGAAGTAGATAATTCGATTTGTGACTGTTCCAATTTAGATTACATTGTACCTAAAAAGCGAAACTTCGGTGGTTTGGAAACGAGTGTTTTTTTAATGTATTTCAAAATTTTGCCTCGCGTTTGTGGTAAAAGTGACTCCATTAAAGTTGATCACACATATCCAAACTATACTGATTATATTTCACCGGGTATTTTAAAATTTAGAGGACATGCTATTTTACAGAGTGGGGTAAAAGCTAGAAGTACACACCTGGGCGTGGAAGAGTTCACTATAAAAAAAAGGGGAGATTTTGGAAGCAGTGGCGTGTGGGTTTGCTTTATTATAGCAGTATTTGAAAAAGGACGCCACTAGTCTGCGTTTTCTCTTAATTAAGCTGCCTAAGTGTACAATGGCGAGCGTTAAATTTTAGTAGTCAATTCACTAATATACCCTCTTGTCAAAATTACACGGGGAAACTCCTTTTTTGACAAAAAGATGAAGTTTCAAAATTACATTATCTACCAAAATTTTATGCTCGCCATTGTACCTCTCTCTAGCTTTCATCTCACTATTAGTTTTGTTACTTTTTTTATATAAAAGAATTTAAGGTTATTCAAAAAGGTATGGAAGTTTTTAAATGAAACCTAATGTTCCAACAAAATCGTAAAATTAACCGATCGTGCTGTGCAAGCGGGTGGTTCAATTTTAAAACACCCGGAATAAACTCACTACAGGAAAAGTCACTTTTAATACAAGCAAAAGTCATTCGTCTTGACTAATATTTCTAGTATTGACCAGATTTTATAGCAATACACTATGGTTGTGACCACTTTATGACGAATCTAGACGAACTATAGTAGAATTTATCGTGGGAACAAAATACACTTAATCTAAAAACAACATTTTAGCGAAACATTAAAGTTGAATAGAATAATTATTGTCGCTTTATATTTTATAAAAGCCGATTCTTTATTATTAAACTTGTAATCTGTTAAAAATTTTGTTATAATTTATTTGTTAATCAATTTATTGTTGCATTATTTATTTAGATGCCAATAAAGAGATCCTTTGAAAGAATTTTATTACCTTAGAATAGCTGGCGCCATCTTCTAACTGAAGCTTTAAGGTAGACAAGACAGAATTCTAACTTGGACATTTAACAGTTAGTAAGTAATTTTACGAAAGATGGAAATAGACTTGTGAAAAAGTTCTTACACTGTAACCAGTGATTCTATAACCTTCATGACTGGGAGGGACTTCCAAAAATTCCAAGAGACAACGTTTTTTTTTTGTATTTTTTCTTATAAATATGTATATACATATTCTTCAGCTCTTGTTTTACAAATCTGACCTGATTTGCTAAGAGCTTTTTACTACAACAAGTGATTCATACTTTATACCCAGTATTCTAGTACACACGACGTGTCAAAGGTCAGAGCGAATCAAGTAAGAATTCCATTAAAAATAAAATCAGGATATCGCTTCGAATAACTGATGACCTAAGCAATAATTGCTCAATGTATAAAAATTATCGGGAGAGAAGTATAAGAGAAATAAATGATATAAACAGTAAAGATAGATTTTTACTATTTTAAACAAATTTTAGGAAAACAACACTTATAGTTAACAAATATTGGAAATACATAGATAACAAAAACTTGTTGACACATAACAAATAAAAATGTTTTTATGGTCAAGTTTCCATTAAAAACTAATAAAGTATTTTGCTAAATCTTCCAATTGAACCATTAATTGTTTACACAACAAATATTTGTGGATCACATCAATTGGATTATTTATTTCGTTTTCCACCAATGATTTATTTCTGACATCATCGTTTAATTTACCAAACGATGACGTATACATACACCCATGAATAATGACACCATTGACCATACCTATCTTTCCACGTGACATCAAAACGACAACGAAAACAATTTTCAAGGTAAATAAAAATAGTTTCGCTATTCAAGTCAATGATATAATCTGATAATTATTTACACACAAAACGGAATCAACTTTAATACCGCCTTCTATTTTCCAATTGGATGATAGTCATGACATCATTGGTTAAATTAGACCACAATCACAAGCCCACTCAACTAAAATATTACATATTATCTAAAATTAAACTGGCAAAAAGGTACCACACCACGTTTTTTTTTGAAGGAGCATCAAAAATACATAAAAAACGTTTAAATTAATTTTGTTATTTATGGTATTTTAGTTTAAATATTCAAAAAGAACCTATTTACTCTTGCATTCGTGCTTAATTAAAACATGTAAATTTTATCAATGAAATAGTTGTTTGCACTAAATATAATAATAGTGTGTATGAAATGCAAGATAAATAAACTGTTTAATAAATGAAAAATAATAAACGGAATATTATAGTAATTTGTTGATGTTTCCAAAATTGCTACATTTCTAAGAAAGAAATATATTTTTAGAGAATTTATAATCTAGAATTATTTTGAGCCATTTTACGATTATCGTGTGTTTACATGATTCAATTTCGAATGGTGCAAATGTGCCATTGTGATGTTTATTCTGATGGTTTTTTCTCAGTGGTTGAAGGCAACAATCACCTGTTACCCTAAACGCTATTTTTTGTGGTCAACCAGACGTAGCATGAACCTTAGGTTAGTGGAACGTAACGGCCGTTGAATCCACCAAACCTTTCCAACCTTGAAACTCTACCCTTTTTAGTTTTTATTCTCACCGATGACATCAACGAAATGTGTCATGGATGCGTGCTGTTGTATCACTTGTATATTGAGTTTGGTTGTGCAGGGAGTCACTGTCAGTGTATCACCGAACTTTTGTTGAGAGAGGTCGTATAGTGAGTTAGCTGTAATCAATAATCTTCATATTTTGGAAACGCCCTTACTGAAACACAAATACAACAATTATGGCCATCAGCAGGTTGTCTATCATCAAATTTTTGGAATTGGTAAGCATTTCTCATCATTGGGTGTGTTATTTTTAGAACTGACTGCAGTTTATGAATTATTCAGTAAATAAATGTTGTGTGATAATACGCGTTAATGCGTTTTTGCCATTTTTGATTTAATCAAAATTGTATGCTGCTGGTTGTCTAGCTATGTCATTTATTTTTAATTACTTAATTATACCCTCAAGTACGCTTTTAAAATTAATTACCTGTAACACTTTTACTTAAAAGTAATACAAGTTCTAGATGCACCAAAAGATGTAAACAAAACAGTAATTTTAGAAATGATACAATGGTGTTTATTAAGCTAATTGGGTTTATAATAGTTAATTTAATTTCTTAGTGTTAATTGCGTACTCGTTTTACATCTTTTAATACATGTTTTACTACGAGATACAATAACGTATGATTCATCAACGAATCTCGAAATTACGTAATGTATAAAATTATGGAAATTGTGAAAGTCAAGGTGCAAGTAACCTAATTTTTTATGCTTATTACGGTATTGTCACAGTGCATTTTTCCATAATGCAACAAGTTGTTGGTCTTAACTGTCATTTGTTGTTAGATTTTAATTATAATGTAATTTTTCCTTTCTTTTTAGTTATACACATTTTAATAGCATTGCTTTCGAAACGTCTAGACTGAAATTTTAATTAGAATAGAAACTAAACTATGAATATTATTTTTCTAGGCTATTGCAGTCACATGTATTGGTCTTCATTACAAAAGCGAAGTCCCTCACGACTTCAACACCAACACTCTCTCAGTGGCCGCTTTCGGTGGTTTTGTGATCATCCTTGTAGGCGGGTTTGCTGGTAATTACCAATTAATAAAATCATCGATTATTTTTAAACGTACTTTAATTTCAGGTCATCTAATGTCGACTCCAATTAATAGAAGGATCGATATTTTCTTTTGTTTGGTCGGGTGTGCCACATTTATTGCAGCAGGTGCGATGAACATAGAATATTTCAAGGATGTTCGTAAGAGCGAATACAGGGATTATGGTTTGGCGAAAGCTTCCTTAGCAATTATTGGAGGAGCTCTCTTTTTGATAGACTCGCTCTTGACTTGGCGTGGCGATTTTTAAATGATCATAAAATAAAAATGTGTGTTTTTATACAGTAATATTTATTTTTATATGGATGTTTTTTATGTACAAAATATTTCTCAAGATAATTATTATGCATTGTTGATTTTGATACTAAGGATGTGCCTGTATGTATAACTTACAAAAGAATGATTGTTATTAATTTAAAACTGATATTTATATTTGTAAAAGGACCAACATTTGTACAATAAATCTATAGTCCTTAACAGTTTTTTATTTTTTATACTTTAATTTTTTATCGATGACTGCTGATTCTTCATAATCAGCGTGTTATAATTTTTTATTCCCTTTTTATTTTTATAAAAAATTCAGTTGTGACATCTGTTAACATAACACCTATTATAACACTTACCAGTCGTTTCGAAGTTTGTAATGATACAGAAACGTGTTCTTCTATAAAATGGTTCAGGTTATAGCTACCCAATAAAAGAGGACGCTGAAGTATTTTTATTGAAATTTTTGTATCTGTACAAGATGACTTAACTTTAATGTTTCCTTTATTTAATCACAAAAATATTATGTTCTTATTAGAATAAGAGCCAATTAAAATATTTGTCTATAATGCAGGTACCACATTTTTTTTTATTTTCAAATTTATGAGCTTGGTTTACGCTAAATTAAATTGTAACAAAACATGTAAAAATAATAAAAACAAATAATAACTTTATTTTGATTGTTGCTTTCTACAGAAATTTGATAAATTATTTCTTATTTTTGATTAAATTTTAAATTATTCTATTGGTTAGTGGCGTATTTAGGTTCATTGTCGCCTAGGGCTACTTAATTCTGGCCGCCCCTATTGACACCATTTCATCACTAGTTTGGCATAAAATATTATTTAACTATAAACAATTATAAAACAATTAATTTCTTTTTAAAAATGCATTTATTTAAACCATCGCCGTCTCCATAGAAATAATCCTTTTCTCGCCAGGGCATTTTTTGAGTTCAAGTGATTCCCGTTGGCGCTTTAATCTGGGGAAATTTTTTGACATTTCCATTTTTTTAGCTTAAAGGGTTCAACCTCATAATATCAATTCTCCCTGGCGTATCTTGTTTTGTTGTATCCTTCCTTCCCAGCATTTATTAATTGCGTTATTTTTCGTTAATAATTAAAAATTATTCAGTTTTTCCTTAGTAACCCCCGTAACTAAGAAAAAATCGGAATCACTGCTTCAATGCATTTTTTACGAAATGCCCAGGCGGGATATTGATACATTTCATTAAGGAGGCGGTGATTTAAACATACATACCAGGTGAATAAAAAGTATGGAACGAAGCGTTTTTCTCGTAAACTAACCACTTTACAAAAAAAAATAATTAGTGTAGCGTAAAGTCCAATTAAAATGTGACCATTTATCAAGAATAACATTTTTCGAAATTTCTTTTAAAAAACCGGGCTCTCCAACGACCAAAGTCATGAAACGACTCCCTCGTTCAAGTTCGGAAAATCTTCGTGATGGGCTCGGAACGCAACTTTAACAATTTATTAAAAAAAAAGTACTGACTAGAAAACAATTCTGTTTAATTAGAGGTCATTTTTAGATCATAATCTTTAATTAAAAAAATTACCATAGTGGGTTGCCATTTAAAAAAAAAATTTCCAGAACTCGAAAACTAAAAAAAATTTCGAAAAATGTTATTCTTGATAAATGGTCACATTTTAATTGGACTTTACGCTACACTAATTATTTTTTTTGTAAAGTGGTTAGTTTACGAGAAAAACGCTTCGTTCCATACTTTTTATTCACCTGGTATATAAAGAGATTTTCGCCACACTAAAATTTTGCAGCCCTTAAAATTCTCACGTTCTGGGTTATAGCCCAATAGGCCTTTACATAAATATACCACAGCTACTTATAAATGAAAAATACATAGACAATTAATAATTGCCTTTGCACGTTTTTAAATTTGATATATTTTGTTGTGCTAAGATTTTTTACAAATGTCTTTGTTAGTCAAAATTAATCACTAAAAACAATAATATCAATAATAATTATGAGAAGTTCAAATTGCAAATATATGTTATTATTACTAGCTGTATAATACACGACAGTTTTAAAAATTAATAAGGTTTAATTTTTTTTTCCAGCCGCAATTTATGCTACATTAAGCTTCACAGACCTGAAAAATTAATTTGGTATGAAAGTTAAAACTGCGCAAAAGTGTGTGTTAATTTTTTGAAATATATTTTAGATGTTAGTTATTAAAAGTTACAATATCGGTAGGTATCGGACTTTATAATTTCAAAAATACAAATTGAAGCAAGTGGTGTTTATCAAACGTTTTTTATTCTTTTGCTCAATAATTTAGTTATGCTCAAATATATTCAATATATAGGTACATAATTGTTAGTTCAACAATATAAAAATAACAGCCTGAAGCTGAACACAAATTAAAAATTAATTGTATGTAGATGCACCTGAAGTTTCACAGCCAACAGAAATTCAATTAACTGTGGCAGGTAGTAATTATTAAATCGAGTTTAGAAACTCTATCTATAATTCTGATATAAAACTTGCACTTAATTGTTTTGAAGCCTCATACTTTACTAAACTGAGCTAATTGAATATTTCAGTCGAAACCTGTTATAATACTGCTTTTGGAATTTATGTAATAAACTATTTTCACATTCAGACTCAGTAGATATTGCATATAACAACCAAATAATTAAGAGTAAAATTTAAGTTTAATTTTTAATTTTTAAACAAACGTAGGAAATGTACATTTTTAGCTCTTACAGAGACTTTAGCTTGACATTATTAATGGATCAACTGAACTAAATCAACCGTTACATTTTACGATTGCTTCTGAAAGCCCAATTTATCATAAATTCAACGAACTATTTTGTTTTTTTCTACGCAAAGTCTAAAATTTTCTACCGACTGTTTAAAATTAAGGGCCGGTTGTAGAATATTTACATTTCAATTAGTTTAATTTTAAATTAAAATTTAATTCGCTTTGTGTGTCGGACCAAAATCTATCAAAGTTAACTGCAACAAGACAAGCCCATTTCCGTAATGGAAGTACTTAGTTTTTATAATCACATTCTTTGCATTTAATAATTAATAATACAAAAGCATGTAAAATATTATGATGAAAAATTTAGAACAAAGACTTTTAAAACTATTGTATAGTAAAATTTTGCATTGTTCGTTTTATAATTTAAAAGTATTTTTTTATTCAAAAACAATTGGTCTAATATTGTTTTTGCTCTTAGCGAGCTTTGTATATGCAGCAAATCTCTCATTTAAGCTTTTTCAAAAAGCGTAAACCACGATTAATTGAGTTAGACACGAGGGTTTTGTGATTGAGCGTCTGTATTCATCTGGAAGATTTGCGTCTAATCCATTTTTAAAAGAGCCTTTTGAAAACTTTGATAATATGGCGCTTTTGCTTTTTTAAACAAAATAAAATCCAGCCATAATAGATGCAAAACTTTGAAATTAATGATCTTTTTTAAGTTTAACACGATGTGCATTGTATCTGCTTTTATATGGATCTTGTACCCTGCTTCCATAAATCTTTGTTCAGCAAAAGCCAATGTTTTAGATTATAAGGCTTCACACATGCCTCTTTAAAACACTGAAATACACATTCCACCTTTAATATTCTCATCTCCGTTTCCTAATCACAAGCGAGGAGGCAAAGGCAACTTTTAATAAGGTTGGGCCAAAAAATGATTTGTAGATCAACATTAATGGAAATCCGCTTTTATAATGGCTTTTTTGACTTATGTTGTGCCGTGTTCTATTTGAGGATTATTTACTTAAAATATTGCTTAGATTTTACGTGAGGTGTATTAGAGAGAGTGTATTAGAACCGGCGCATCCACCATTTTACTATGGTTTCAATTTAATAAAACAATTTTTCATATTAGATTTTTGAAATGAAAGCCATAAGACATCATATAAAGTACGTAAATATAATGAATATTTCCGAGCTTTTTTCCTCTTTTTTCCCCATCACGTTTAAGTCGGTGGCAATAAAATTCGATTCCGGTCGGAGAGAAACATAACTAATAACTAATAATGAAAGAAGACCAAAATGGGGCGTTTTTGCGGTTAGAGAAAACTTGGAAAGATAGCGAAAAGCTCAGAAACAGAACCTATCTTTGATTGTTATTTTACTACCGAAAATAGAGATAATTTTTCAAAAGGTTTTCTGTTCTTTATACTCGTAATATCTATTGTGTGTTTGGCTAGAAAAATGCAACATTTTTTGTGATGACGTTTTTGAGTGAATTTTTTAGTGTTTGAGTAATTATTTACTAGATAATAACCGCAAGTAGAGAGTAACCGTTTAACGAGCAGTATTTCTTGTATCAATTGCACGAAAGGCTGTAAAAGTCTCGGTTGCAACAGTTCGTGCAATTTATATCATTTTCCGTGTTCGTGTAGGTCCCATTCTTCAAAATAATGTGGTTTAATACGCATTTTTCTTTAAAGTTATGTGAACTTTGGTAAGACTCAGACATGAAGTTGGAGCTTGAACTCACCTAGAGAAATCCGAACAACGGACCACATATGAAATCAATATATGTTACTGGCGGAAGGTTTCCAAGCGAACTATTAAAGATTCATAGGCTGAAACAGCATCCCCGGAGATATGTCTTCGTGTGCAGACCAGAGATCTTAATCTTAATCAAGCGGCAATATAACGTCTTTTCTAGGTATTATTTCTAATATTATTGCTGAAATCCCAGACAGGCGCTTGAAAATTAATTGCTTCCGGTGCGATTGTTGAATTAAAAATGGTGAAACACACCATCAATCAAATTTCACATTCAGGCCTCTCTTATGTTTATATTGCTCTCAATTCAAATTTGCACACTTCCGCACGTAATTAATATCAGGATAAATCTTTGGGAATTTAAAGCAAGGGATTATGAAAGGTTGAAGATGGATTACTTAATATCTATGGAATATTTTATGATTCCAGCGAGTTTAATGACACTGGCCGGGTAAGTCATTAAAGTTTTTAATTTGGAAAAGTTCGGAAATGTTTTATGTATGTTGTACAAACTGCATTATTGACCCTAATGTTGGAAACTTTCGGCCGAATATTTTAAAATTTATATTAGGCAAATCAGAAAATTAAAAGAATAATTTTTGCCCGCCTGCGCTCACAAATTTGTTTTTGTTCATCCAAGTTAAATTAAAAAGAGTTTGTCTATCATTACTTTGTCTCAAATTGAAGAATTTGCATTTTAAAGTCGCCACAAATAGGCATCGGTCAGTGTCATAATGTTAATTAAACTAGTGCATGTCTCGTAAATTTCGATCGATACGATTAATGAGTCCTATAAAAGTAACGTGTCGACGGCTGATAACCGGAAATTGCCCGAATCTAAACAAATTTCCATGCAAACAGCTGTCTGTGCGCGTTTTTATGAAAACAGAAATCACATAGACGGATAGATTGTCGAAATTGTTGGTGAATACTGTTCCGCAGATGTGTTCGAATGCATTTAGATGGCAGTGGGGTGTTGCTGCGACTAACATTCGTTCGGCTTCTGCGGAAATTAGAACCAGATCCTGTCTTTGATAACAGCTCAACAAATTTATTTCAAATCTTCCACCTGATTACTGGTATATATTTTGAGTCTGTTCGTGCGAATTTTCGATAATAATGATGTTTTTGCAATTTATATCTCAATTATGTGGGAAAAGCGTGACCAACAAAATAACGCAATCACCGTAAAGTGAAGCAAAGTGTCAAATCAATAAAACTGATTCAAACTGTCATTAAAATATTACTCATTTATATGCAAAAACTGCATTTAAATAAAATGCAGAATTAGGAATGCCATTTCAGTTAGAGCCGGTTATTAATTATTTCAACAAAATAGGTATTTGTGGATTTTCCACCGGTTCTGTGTACATATAGTTTTTTTAACTGTTTTTATAAATCAAAATACATTAGCTTTAAAAATGGCAATTATTGCAATAATAGTATATGATAAACAAGTGTTACAAACACTTTCATTGTGGTGATACGAGCCAGGCAGTGGCGAGTTTTAGCACGAGTTTTACAATAAGATATGTTTTTTATATTACGTTTTCTGTTGAGCGCTTTTTAAATTGAATTTATTATTAAATTTTACACTTAAAATTGACGACTTTTGACATAAAGCCTGTTTTTTCTTTAAATGGAAATTACCAAGCAAAATTTTGGTAAAAAAATTGGTAGCAGTTTGTCTCCATAGCCACAAATTTTGTTTGCTCTTTGTTTTTGTCCCAAGAAATTTTGTTAAAAAATTATGGTTATGGTCAAATTGAGATGTTGCCAAAATTTTGATGTTTATGAATCTTGTGTGTTTGCTCTTTAAAAGCACTATAATTGAATACCTGAGGGCCGACATCATTACCTAAGGTCTAAAGACAGAATTCAGTTCTAATCATTTTGAGAGAAACACCGCAAGTAAGTATAAAATGTTGTGGACAAAAATGAGGTTTTTGCTACTAAAACTTAGAAGAAAAAGAAAAGAAATACAGAAAAAAGTTATTTAGCAAAAGATACAAGTAAGTATTATGATGATTTGCAATAAATTTTGTGTAATTTATTGAAATGAGTTCAAAGTTGATGCATTTTATAAATTCTTATTCAGCTTTAGTTTCAAAATTGTTACTTTTTTAACTCGTTCCTCAAAAACGATGCTCTAGACACTAATTTAATTGCGTTCTTTTCGAGGTTCTTTCTCATTCATGACTATGAATGAATTTACTAGTGGTGCCAACGTTTTAAGACTGTTTGGCATTTCCATTTAAAAAAAAACAGACTTTATACCGTACCAAATCGCTTGAAACTAGTTCAAATTGCATTAGTTTCAATAAAAAACGTTGATATTTAACCAGTGAGCAAAAATATTGTATAAAATGTTGTCAAAAACAGTGCTACAAAGTTAAATTTTGTGCAGCTGTTTTCAGTTACACAAACTGCTCGTTGCGATACCGAAATAAAAAATGGTAAATTAACAAAACAAGTATTATAAACACTCTCACTGTGTTAGAAATGCACTATTATTACAATGAGGGGTTGTACCGCTCGTTTTATATCTTATTTTTTCTATCGAGAGCTTTTTAAATTGAATTCATTACTATATCTGACGACATTTGACGTATGCGGTACCCAAAAAAAGTTAAAAAACTAAAAGCAGTGTCGCAATGAGCATTTTGTGCAACTGTTTTCAGTTACACAAATGTCCTCGCAAATGGCCTAAAGATTCGGAAACATAGGTCTTTTGAAACAATTTTTTTATTTAAGCACTAATGAAAAAATGAAAAAAAAAACATGAAAAAATACCAGTTGCGACATTAATTTGTTTTTTAATAATTTGATTATTTCATTAGTGAATTATTTATAAAAAAAAATAGTAAACACATTTCAGAGAACTAGTAATCGTGTATCATCAGACAAATTAAGCTCCTTCTGTTTTCGGTGTATACCCTTCATTAGTCGCAATTTCATTAATTTATGATGTACCTACTGATATCTCAATTAAATATAATTTACCTGCTGATCAAAGGTGCACTTCTAGCTTTGACAGTTTATTCCAATTGCTGTTAGCTGGAGAAATGATTGACATCTAGGCAAATACTGTTTGAATGAAAGACACTCAGAAATAGGTAGCGCTCGTAACCAACTGTAGAAATTTTCCCAAGATGTTTATTCTATTTACGGTACAAAGTTTCAACGATAGTCAAGAACCATCTTTGGCAGATTACGTCGACTTGCAATTTTATAATAAAATTAGAAACCTTATTTCAATTAATTGGATCGAAGCCTCGGTGTGGAAGAATTTTCCACTCTGATGTAATTCTCAAAGAACAGAGCACATAGTAGATAAGACAGGGCCAATCGCCTTGGAGTCTAGTTTTAAGAAACAGAAGGCTTTGATAAACAACGAATAAAATGAAGCTGTGTCTAATATCACAGAAAAATTAGCTTTGGCATAACAAAAAAGCATCGGAATCTTGCTGTTTTTGTGCAGACAAATTGTTGCTGTTTCACGAGAAACTTAGAATCGTATGTCTTAATAAGAGTGCTTGGAAGTTTCTTGTCTCTGGAACAGTAAATTCAAGAATTAATTAGGAAAATATGATATGACAAGTACTCTCTCATGTAGGTCCTTTTGCTTTCAACTCGGCAACCCAAGTGAGCAATTACTAACTTCACACTTACAAACTTCCTAAGCATTTAATTATTTTAATTACTGGTCTGCTTTCACCAAACCCTAAGCAACAGTTTTAGCTATGGTCGTTTCGTGTTTACTAAATGGAGGGAAAAAAGCAACGACAGTACAAATTGAGATTTTACTCAGTTTTAAGCTACGTAATATGTACAACGGCCAACATATAATAAACAATCAGGAAATAGTTTTATCGTAACATGAATAGAATTAAATTTTATCACAAATAGTTATTATCTTAGACACTAACTTTGGATACATTTATATTTATTTCAATATGGTTCATTAATCGTCTTGATTAACAAAACATACTTTACAAAAAGAAATACTAAAAGCAATGTTTCTTATTTACGACAATTTATTTACAGTTGAAATGTCTAGTTTTTGTTTCTGTTCAGTGCTGGTAACTGTTGCGTATATGGAGGTGTTACAGAAAACAGTCTTCAAAGAAATTAATACAAATAACATTATAACATTTAGTTTTTAGCGTGAGTCTTCAGTTGCACACTAAAATTTACGTTAGAATCATTGTCTTGTCGTCCATTTGGATTATCTATAGTTAGCACAGACCTGAAACAAAACAGAATATTAAACTTACTTGCGGTTTCGTATCCACAAGTAAATACATTTCGACCTGATTAAAACTAAATTTACTTTTCCGAATATCAGCTTTACAAACGTTCCCAATTTTAGCAGCGACAGCAATCAAGAATTTTATTGATATTGAAACCTAGCTATGGTCGAATGCAGTAAAACTTGTATAGCTAACGAGAACGTCTCAATTTAACGAAGTCTTGAGGAAACTTTGATTGCCTTGGACAAATCTCAGAACCTATCAATAACTACTACTAGTTTTAAGACTGAAATATATGTTTGTGACTCTTGGCAGTGCTTTATATGTTTGCTTTTAGCTACAAACTCAAGTCTGGTTAAAAGACACCTATTTTTTTCTCTTAAATTAGTCTCAAAAATGCGTAAAGCAATATAAAAAACAACTTTGAATTAGACAAAATAATTTTTGCCAACAAATATATTATTTTTGATAAATGTAGTTAAATAACAACAATAAATACATTTATTTCTAAAAACTAACATTAAATCTCTTATTTCATACATAAATCGAATACTTTTATGTGATTTTGTGTATCCAATAATGAAAGCCAAAATATCTGATTGGATAGCGTAATTTACTAATGTGTTTGTTGTAATAGGATTTTAAGTTTTGTTGCGATAACCACAAATTGCTAGAAATATTGTTGTGTTTATAACAGATTTCCAAAATTTGTTTGAGTGTTATTTCAGTTTTTAAAAATTTTAAAGTATTAAAAATAACTTTTCACCTGTTATTTAAAGCGAATGTATTGATTGGCAAAGCTCAATTTATACTCCCTCTTTAATAGTTTAGTCAATAGGTCAACAAAAACCGTTCATGTGAACCAAGACAAGACGTCAATCCAAATGATGCTCTTTTAATCGTGAATACATATTAATAATTGTACTGTCTAATACGTGTTAGTTTTATGAAATTTGATATCGCATGTCATCAATCTTTCTTTGACGATATGAAGTCGTTAACTCTAGGTACACACAAAACTGTCAGCGGAAAGGTTCAGGATACTTGTACCAAGTCAAGACATGTTGTAATTATTGTACAGTAATAAGCTAGTTTCCTGTTCAATAGTTGGTTGTATCCTTGGGTCATAGAAATTTCAGGTTAATCAACTATTCAGAATCGAAACTGACTTTGAAAGTAAATTTAACTTATTATTAATTAATATTTACTCACCTATAAACTGACGTGTTAGGCCAAGGTATAGGGAAAATATGCAAGGGGAGAAAGCCAGCCATCTATCCATTAAAATTAGAGGTGCTTTGTTACCTGAAATGAAACGTAACTGATTACATTAAAAATTGAAACATGTATGAGGCAGCATTAGTTGGATTTCTATTATATCTGTATTCAATAATGGAGAAAAGTATTGTTTGTAAGCATCATTAGTGCAGTTTTTTTTTCAACAATGATCCAAGATTTTTAATAAAGTATTTGTGGATGAAAACCTTTCAACCACTGGACAATTTGATGTAATTGGTTAGAAGACATGTATACAGGGTGCGCCAGGATTTGCGCCCCAGAAAAAAATGCCATAGGTAAGATACCGGGAACATGGAAAAATGTTTAAAAAATTCTATCTATAAAATTTTAAAGTTATCAGAATTTAAATGTTGCACTTTGACCCTATTTATTTCTGTTGGAGTTTTTTGCTCCAGGCTGTTAGAAGAGGAAACAAGGAAGCTATCTTAAATTGTAACTCTATTTAATGTTATTTGTGGCTTTTATGTGCAAAATGTTTGTACTTTTATTAAATAATTATAAAAAAACATATACAAGATCATCAGTATCATTAAATAGACATAAAAAAATGTCAAATGTCAAAAAATAAAAGTCAAATTTTTTTTGACAAATAGAATTTTTTTAACATTTTCTTCATGTTCCTGGTATCTTACCTTAGTTGAAATTTTTCTCGGGGCGCGAGTTCTGACAGACTGTAATGACGAGTCGATGTTTTTAACTACAGAATAAATATCATGTAAGACGTATTGACAGTTTTCATCTTAGCTTGCCTTTGATGTTGCCAAGTGTGAATAGTATTCACTCTTTATATGTGATACTCGTTATTTGTAAGTGTAAGAATTATAAATAAGTAAAACCACATAACATTCTTATTAGAGAAATAGAGGATTACAGAACTTCCTATTTGCATAATTGAAATTATAAAAACTCGCTTCACTGTTTTGTGTCCCTCACAAGGAGTCTGTTCAATTTCTCAAAGACTTTTCGCTTCACCGAATCTCGTCACTACAACATTCAAAACGCGCTTTCAACTCAATGTCAATTTGTTTTTATCATATCGCTATCGTGTTTGAACTTTTACCTATTTTTCGCTTCACTGCTAATTGTGGAATTTGCCATAAAAAGTAATCATCGAACTAAAAGTCCTAATGTGATAATATCTCGGTGAGGTTCTTGTATATAATGAAAAGTCGCAGTCGAATAGAACGTTTCGTTCCGATTTTATCGTCGCTGTTCGCTTTATATGCATTAACGCGATATTTCCTACTGCGACTTCCAACTTATTTTAAAATGAAAATCTTTACAATCTAACGAAGAATCATAATGCAGTTTTGTTCGAGAAATTCTAGAGCCGGGAACAAAAGAAAATGTAATGAAGTATTGATTTAACTGCGATTGTATTATGGCATTTCTTGGAGTCGTCTTCTATCAGAAACGCGTCATTTAAATAACATTGCTTTGTGAAATAATAAATTCTGAAATGACACCAAACTGAAACAATAATCTTACTTACTAAGGGTGCAATTTGGTCACAGGGGGCGTTATTAGATTGCAACTTCCAAAGTTCGAAAGCAAAATATTACTGTATTTTGAAATTCAATTAGTGCTAATGCAAATTCGAGGATTAGGCGATTCTTCGTAACGTCATGCTCACGTAATGGTAAATAATTCGGTATATTGGATGGACCACGGGTTAATAATTCCATTTCCCAAACCGAAGATACAATTACAACCGCATCCATGTAACGAATCAAAATTTGACGCGTTTGGGTCACACTGTTATTTTCATTAATCCTGCAGCTCTAAATCGAGTATTTTTAATGTTTGACTCAACTTTTAACTAAATTCGCTTCGTGGGCTTTATTTATTTAAGCGCCGGTAATTTGTCACATACGCAGACGGTTTTATACCACCTGGAAATGTTGTTAAAGTTCACAGACAAACATTTATTATTCTTTACTTTTTACAAACTATGTGCAAAAAAAAGCATTTAAAATACTACATCAGAGCTTATAAATCTATATAACATATAAAGAGGCTTGTCCTGACTGACCTATCAACCCACAGCCTAAACCCCTGGAGACAGAAATTTCAAATTTTCACAGTATATACTTTTTATAACGTAGGCATCCAATAAGAAAGGATTTTTGGAAAATCAACCCCTAAGAGGGTTAAATGGGGTGGTGAATTCGAAGTTTTAAAACTATAGCCATGAAAATTGGTATTTAGGCTTTCGGTTAAAAATAAAAAAATACGTATTTGGAAATTTCACCCCCAAGGGGGTTGAACAAGGGTAAAAAAAAGGTCGTAAAATATTTGTATTTGTTTTTTAAGTTAAATTCATGAAAATTGGTATTTGGGCTCTCAGTTAAAAACAAAAAACCACGTGTTTTAAGATTTCGGAAAATTTCATCCCCAAAGAGGTCAAACAAGGGATGAAAATTTGTATAAATATTTATAAATTCGTCATTTTTGAAGTTATATTTATGAAAATTGGGATTTGGGCTTTCGGTTAAAAATGACGAAACACGTGGTTTAGGATTTTTGAAAATTCCACCCTCTAGGGGGTTAAACAGGGATGACATTTTGTATTAAAATATGTCATTTATAAAGTTAAATCAAGTTAAAAATCAAGTAATACGTGTTTCAGGATTTTTGGAAATTTCACCCTCAAGGGGGTTGAACAAGGGTAAAACTTCGTAAAATATCCGTTTTTTTTTAAATTAAATCTATGAAAATTGGTATTTGGGTGTTCAGTTAAAAACAAAATAGCACGTGTTTCAAGATTTTGGAGAATTCTATCCCTAAGGGGGTCAAATAAGGGATGAAAGTTTGTATAAATATGTATAGTTAAACATGGAATGAAAATTTGTATCAAAATTTGTCATTGTTAAGTAATATCCATGAAATAAGACTTAAAATTTTACGGTTTTTAAATAAGTTATAAAAGACGGACTTTTTATTTTTTCTACAAAGTTCATAATAAATTATGTGTTGCTATATTTTGTTAGTAAGCTTCTTGGCCATTCTGCGTTTTGAAATAGTTGTGGGTGTCAAACTACTACGCGAGCGAAGCCGCGGGCAACAGCTAGTATTCTATAAATTCCCACTTCTGATTACCTAAGAACAAAAATAATTGTGGAAATTGCCAAAAAAACACAAGTTAGTTAATTCGTTAATGAATTGTAGATGTCTATTTGCGTTTTCAAATTTTGTCTTAAATTCTTGCTTCATAAGCAATTAGTGTCTGACATTTTCAAAATTGAAATAATTACTAAATTGTTTAAAGTTACAATAGAGGTGAGGAAAAAATGTGGTTTTGTAGTTTATTGTGAAAATGCTTCAACAAATATGTAGATCGATGAGTATTCCTCGTATATTTCTCCCAAAATTAGGATTATACAAATTAGCATATTGTGCCTTTTGTTCCTATAGATCTTCGCTTCCCATTAGGTGGCGGACCCACAACTAGAAACGTCTTGCAATAAATTTGCATACCTACTGAAAGCACATACGGAAATAAAAAACGTTGGGTTTATAGTCGGTTTTATATTAAGGCAGGAGAATAAACCCAAATACCAGAGAAACGGCAACAACTTTTATTTAAAGCGATTTTAAATTTGCCCCAACTGTATCAACTCAATATTCTTCTCCAAAAATTTAGTTTTTGTCGTTATACTTGCCGAAAACATGATGAATTGTCAGTGTTTCCGGTGTTTTTCCGATGACACTGGCGTCATTTCCGCCAAGCACACAATTCCGGGTTGCAGTGCTGCAATGAAGAATGCATGTGTGTGCCGATACAGAATAATCAAGTGGGGCCCCAAAAGAGTCCGGGTTACGCCGCCGGCACAACATAACACACAGACCTCCATAATAAAGTAATAAACCCTACATAATGAACGCCAGTCGGCCGCCGTTATTAACTTAATGTGACAGAACAGAGGCCACTCTCCGGCGTATATTGGACCAGGGTGGACATGTAAATTGCAGACCGAGGCCGAAACGCTGCCCGTAACATTTGCATCTTCATGTTCACTTACTTATAATCAATTGCACCCTATCTAATTAAAAGTCAATTTTGTATGGGATGGAGGAAACGACGACGCGCCCATTTCCTCCTCATTTCTTCGCCTGAACGATTTTTAATGTTGGAAAAATACGACGGCTAAGTGGATCACGTGACAGGGGTGGTTCGCAATTACCTCGGCTTGTTTTATTGTTTGCATTGATGTGGTTAAAGACTATTTATCAAAAAAACAAAGTATAGGTTGTCTAGAAAACAAATGGTTGCACCTATTTCTAATATTCTCGTTCCGATATAATAAAGCAATCAAGTACGTCTAAAGCAAGTTTTATTTAATTTGTTGACGCTTTAATTAATCAAACAAACGTTTTAATCTAGCAGCAAAAATAAAAAGCTGGAATTAAGGTGCAACGAGACAAATCTAATTATTTTATTTTATTCTCCTTGCTGAATTTTCTGCATGTGGCTCTAGTGTTCTATTTAAATTTAAACCAAACAAATATTTTTGAAATAAATACGCATTGTGCTAACCCGATCATCAATTTTCGGTTATAAGCAATGTTTCGACTAAACAATGAAACTCCACAAATGAAACTAAATTTCACGCTGTAGATTATCAACAGAAGCGTTTGTATATAAACTAAATACAATTTTATTTAATTATTCCATTGTTGAATTAGTAAATATTAGCACCAATGCTAATAAGCTGTGTATTTATTGTAACAACTGATGCTCCCGCAGACACACAAGCTAAATGCAAAATTGAATAAATAAGGCTTGTTTGTAAGTAATTTTTTTTGTAAATTTAAGGGTGTTTACAAGCAAAAACAACTTATCCTTAATGCCAAAGTATAAACAAGTATCAAATAAATGTCTTCTCGTTGGGCAAAATGTGGAACAAAGCTTAAACATCAAACAAAATCTCCATTTATTGGTAATAAAGTTATGTATATTTACGCCGTATAAAACATTAAAAGCATATGCATATCGCTAATCTGTA